TTAATAAATCTGAGTTTCAGATTTCATTGTTACCTTCACCTCATCTCTAGCTAACATATTCATATTCATTCTCTCTCTCTCTCTCTCTCTCTCTCTCTCTCTCTCTCTCTCTCTCTCCCCATATCTCTCCCTCCCTCCCCCCTCTCCCCCTCTCCACTGAAACATAGCAGACAAGGAATGTATGCACTATATCAGGGTCTCTTATTACAATAGTCACACATAAGAGCTTTCTACAATGTTAAATGGTAGAGTAAGGAAGACTTGAAACACTCTGGGTTGAGTTCCCAGAAAGATTTCAACTAGGTTTTACAAGCAAAACTTACTGGATCTTGAAGCTTGAAGGCCATTTAGCCATTGAATATGTATGGCCAGCAAAAGAAATAGAAGTTACTAAACACAGCAGGCTAGAGATCCAGGTAAGGATAGACAATGTAGCTTTGTGATGAATGCTATAGCTTTGGAAATGTTTTACAACTATAGGTCAACTGTGTGCTGTGAAATCAGTTCCATAATCAACATTAGAGGCATACCACCTGTGCCCTCATAAGGGGATGGATTGACCACATGCCACATGTGTGGTTACCAGGTGTTTGGAAGGGTCTGCACTTGGCTGTGCTAGGGGGAGGTGTAGCTTAGAGTTTTCCTGCCTGGCCCACAGTCAGGACAAATCTCTCTCACCTGCCAGTCCCACAGCCGCTCAGACCCGACCAAGTAAACACAGAGACTTATATTGCTTACAAACTGTATGGCCGTGGCAGGCTTCTTGCTAACTGTTCTTACAGCTTAAATTAATCCATTTCCATTAATCTATACCTTGCCACATGGCTCATGGCTTACCGGCATCTTCACATGCTGTTTCTCATCATGGCGGCTGGCAGTGTCTCTCTGACTCAGCCTTCCACTTCCCAGCTTTATTCTCCTCCTTGTCCCGCCTATACTTCCTGCCTAGCCAATGGCCAATCAGTGTTTTATTTATTGACCAATCAGCAACACATTTGACATACAGAACATCCCACAGCACTTCCTTTTTTTTTTAATTTTTCAAAAAGGAAGGTTTTAACCTTAACAAAGTAAAATTACATATAATTTGGGAATTTGGGCATAGCTTCTCTTACTACTTCCTGCTGGAGGGGGGCGTTGTATCTTATGGGGACGCAAAGAAAATTTTAGGATTATGGAATAGTCCATGAGGCTATATTGTCTGAGCCAGTTGCCTTCAAACCATTCTGGATGTTGGATCATCTGGGCCATGGTGTCATCAGAGACCTTTCAGGGGGACTTGGCTGGTCAAACCTGATGTATCTTAATCTGGAACAAATCCATAGCCTTTGGCTTTCTGTGGGAACAAAAGCAGAGTCTCCTTTCCAAAGCAACACATCCTTACATCCAAATTTTGAAGTCAAGGTACTTTTAAAACATACATTTTGGCATAACTCAACAGCTTTTACAATCAAATGTTTTTCTGCAGTTAAAAATCCCAAAGACAACACAATCCAGATTCTCTGTGTAATATTCATCTTTATGTGGCTTATTTTTTATATTAATTTTACTGTCTCTTTAAAGACTTTATTTTTTAAAACTATGTATTTCTTTATATAACTGTATATATTCCTTTTTCTCTCTCTTCCAAGCCTATGTATATTTTACACACATTGTAAACTATTACATCTGAATCTGTCTTATTGTGAATCTATTGCTTTAAACTGCATCAGCTGTGACTGCTGGCTCCACCCACCTCAGCTTCCCAACATGGCTACGTTTACCACCAGCTCTGGGAGCTATCGTGGGTCTATGCTTTTAGCCAAGCAGCGTGTAGCCCAGACACCTCTTTTTTTGTTTTGTTTTGTACTAGCAAAGTCTAAATCCACCATGCAGCTTAATGTGCCACTTGCAGAGGCCTCATTCCCACCATACTGCAGGTCGAGCACGCACACTAGAAACCTACAAGTAGCTCAAACCGGCAGCTGCCGCTCATTTGAGAGAGACAATTAGGAAGCTATTTTTAGCTCCATTTTAGAATCTTTTTTCTCAGTTTTTAGGTGGAAACTCTTGCCACCACGTTGGACGCCATTTGTAGCTTAGAGTTTTCCTGCCTGGCCCACGGTCAGGACAAATCTCTCTCACCTGCCAGTCCCACAGTCACTCAGACCCGACCAAGTAAACACAGAGACTTATATTGGTTACAAACTGTATGGCCGTGGCAGGCTTCTTACTAACTGTTCTTACAGCTTAAATTAATCCATTTCTATAAATCTATACCTTGCCACGTGGCTCGTGGCTTACCGGCATCTTCACATGCTGTTTGTCATCATGGCGGCTGGCAGTGTCTCTCTGACTCAGCCTTCCACTTCCCAGCTTTATTCTCCTCCTTGTCCCGCCTATACTTCCTGCCTAGCGAATGGCCAATCAGTGTTTTATTTATTGACCAATCAGCAACACATTTGACATACAGAACATCCCACAGCAGGGAGGTCTTTTGCTCCACCCCTTGGCATTCCTTTAAAAAGCCCTTTAGAAGAGACAGAGGGGCTGGTGGATAAGGATCCAGGCCCTCCGAGGCTATCCTGTGTTTCTCTCTCTCCCCCCTCTATATTTCTATCTAAATCTCTTATCCCTCATTCCTCAAGAGTACCCTTCCCTCCTCTCCTCCCAGTCCTTCCCTCTACCTGCCTCTGTTCCTACCCTCAAATCCAATCCTCCTCTTAAATCAGACTTTATGCTTTCAACCTTAGGTTTCTGTAATTTTAGTGTATTTCTGTCTTCTATTGGATCTCTTTGTCTTGAATAAATACTAGCTGCTATGGCCATATTCTTGAAAGGGGATCACCATACATCAAATTTCATTGATACCAATGGGACACATATACCTCAGAATATCAAAATATCACCTTTTAAAACTGAGGTTAATTGCCAGTCTTCCTTTGGTTGCTATGCAGCAGGAGTAGCAAATGTCTGGTGAATGTGTTCTAATCAACATGAAGTTCAGGAAACCTTTAACAATATGAAGCCTAGTGAAGTTTGTTTGACATTCTTGGCATATTAGGCTATGAATCCCATTCTTAGGAATTGATATCAAGAAAATTACTTTTGAGATAGGTTTGATATAGTTTTTAATTTAGAAGGGATGAAGAGAAAGCAAGCGAGAGCAAATAGAGCATTGCTCATATAAAGAGTTTTTTTTTCTTTTCCTGAGGAGAATGCTTACTGGATTTAATTTCTATTCTAGCAGATGGATTTTAGCATTTAAACCCTATCACTTGGGTTTGAAAAGTCCTCTTATGGGTCATTTAGCTCATCTCTTAGCAGCAACACAAGATAGATCTCATTATTTTTCTTAAATCCTGTCTTAAAGACGAATGAGCATCTAATGAGTCTTTAAATGATGGTTTTACTACCTACTCTGGTAATTTGTCTCATAATTTCTTCATTATAATAGCATCATAACTTTCATATTCCAATTGCTACCGATTCTCTGATATTTATCTAAAATTTCCCCACAGCATTAGAAGTCCATTGCTCTATCCTCTCTACTTGCCCATTTAACAGTTCTTCTTCACTGGTTCCTGACATCAAATGCTTGAGGATAGTGGGTAGTCAGACCTCTGGCCCTTTGGATTTAATGTCACTTTGTGTAAGTCGTGGCATTGCCTAGTTGCGTCTCTATATTCTTTTGTATCTAGCGCTGGAATCCCTATAGTGTTACACCCTATTGTTCAACTCGAACATCTAAACAAGAGAAACTATGACACATTCTTACCTACTTGGTTCTTCCCACCCATAGATCAAGTAGGGAGTTATCTTTATGGGATGATTTGAGTGATTAGCCTTCCTAATCAAAACAGTCTTCCTAACTCAATAGAAAGGCTGAACCAATCATTAAATCATTAAAGTCTTTCCATTTGGTTAAGTACAAAAATAAGCCAAGATCCATCGATGTTAATGGTCCCAAAGTGTTACCCCACTGTCAGACATTCTGTAGTATGAGTTATATACTTTTCAACTACCTTTCTTCCCAAATGGGCAAACATTAGCATTATGCTGGTGTCCTTGGTAGTGATGCTGAAATTAAAAAAAAAAGAGTGACAGAAAAGCATCCAAATGAAGCTTTGCCTACTTCTCCACATGATAATAAGATAGCATGAAATCAGTTCTCATGCACATAAAAGTAAAGACTTTCCTATTGTGTTTCTTCAATGCTAGATTCTAGATCAATATCCTTCCTACTTAATTAAGTGTTCTTTATTCATGAATCCAACCTCTTGCTGTCTGTGATTTCAAAGATTATGTTCATGCTATGTTATTGCTAGAGTGTAGAGGGCCTTTTTTTTCTCTTTCTGAAATGTCTCACCTTCCTCTCAAGGCCAAGATTGTTACATATCCTCATAAAACCTTAGCTGAGACCTCAAGTTTACCCTCTATTTCTCTAGTAAAAATTACTCTAAGGCATGAAAATGAAGAAAAATGGAGCTATGTTCATTGAATAGCCACTATTATGTGCCACACACTGTGCTCTGCACATCTCATGGGATGTTTCATCTTAATATGTACAATAATCATAGCAGGGAGGTGTGACTCAAATCTTAAATAATGGAAGAGGGCTGATGAGATGGCTCAGCACCCCAAAGCACTTGCCATTCAAGTCTGGCCGCCAAAATTTAGTCCCAAGAACCCAAGTAAAGGTGGAAAAATAACATCACGAAGTTGTCTTCTGGCTCCACACTCATGCCATGAAGAGTGTGTGTGTGTGTGTGTGTGTGTGTGTGTGTGTGTGTGTGTGTGTGTGTGTGTGCCTGTATGTGTGTGTCTTTGTGTGTGTGTGTGTGTGTGTGTGTGTGTGTGTGTGTGTGTGTGTGTGTGCGCGCGTGCGCGCTAATGATGCTGTGCCATGTCAGGGACCACACACATTAGGAGGGCAGAGGGACAAGAAAAACCACTAGTGAAAGATTGACCAGAACTCAAGGGAACAGAGAAGGGGTGCAGGCAAACCAGGGACACCAGTATGTTCTTTGAGCCTCCAGGTACCTCTGTCTTTTCCACTGAAGCTGAAATAGAAGGCCACCACTTATGCTCTTTCTGTCTTTACAGAAAAAGTTGGTACTTTACCTCAGTAAGGATTTGGGGCTTCTTCTAGTGTTGGCCATGGATATCAAAGTGAAAAGAACTTATCAGCATCGCTTTGGTAGTACTTCATTTTCTGGCCTATGTTTCCCTTCATCTGATTGCCATTGTTTACTTTTCAGAGTCTTCAAAGGTCTGCCCTGTGCATTCTGCCCAGCTTTTACATCTGTATTGAGTGGGAGAAGCGGGCTGGAGCTACTGCATTTCTCTTAAAATGAGAAGGTCACATGCACTTTGCAGCTTGTCATGAATGTCAGAATTTTGTGCAGTAGAAATATTTATAGTAAAATCATGAACATTTTAATTTTATTAAGTATAATATACTGAGTGTCTAAGATAATCATAAATGAGTCTGAGACATTTTTCCCTTTGGAAAACAGAATGCTCGTATCTCTCCCATCATTGAATAAGCAAAAACCAAAACTTTATGAAACCCTGCTTCCTTTGGTTAGCACATCATTCTTTTTTATTGAAGATAATTTTTTATACAACATATTCTGATCATGGTTTCCCTTCTCCCACCCCTCCCAGGCTCTCCCCACCTCCCCACCAATGGAACTCGACCCATTTATCTCTCTGTCTTTAGAAAACAAATAGGTATATTTTTTTAAAAAAAGAAGAAAAATACAAGAAACACACACACACACACCCCTTAAAAATTCAAGGGTAGGCAACATCTTCTGTTTTTAAATTTTGACCTCTAAACTTTGGGAAGGCATGCCATATTTAAATTATGTTGTCATTAATTCTTCATTCTATTTTTTCCTTTTATTGAAAATAAGCTTTGTACCACCATTGCACTAACAATCTAACAGGCAGTACACCATTGTAGAGCTAAGGCTGGTGTTACGTTTCTCCTGAAGGAGCCGGCCTACTTGCTTTTCTGCCGAGCTTGCCTGTCAGTTTCCCAGAGGATTCTTGCTGGAGTTAGAGGCTGGGATAACAAGATGAGTGGGCAGAAAGGTTGGAGGAGAAATGGGAAGGCTGCAACAAGTGGTTTGCTACAGAGATGGGGTGAGACTGGGGTATCAGATTTGGAGGAGAGGAAGCAGGCGTGAAGATTAGAAGTTAGGCTCCTTGCTTTCCTGGACAGAGTGGCTTGCGGGTTCCCAAGGAATGCCTCTTGGAGTTGAGGACCTTTAATAAAGCAATGGGGTGGGTGGTGGGTGGCTGGGTTAGAGGGGAAGATTTGTGCTATCCACTGGAGATGGGAGTAGAGATGGAGGTGAGGCAGCAGCAGGTGGTCTTCTACAGAGCTGAAGATGAGAACTGGGGGAGGAAATCTTCAGTTAGTCTGCCTGCTTCCCTAGTCAGAGTGGCCTGTGGGTTCCCAAGGAGTGCCTGTTGGATTTGGGGGCTGATATAAAGTGATGAGTGGCAGGGAGAAAGGTTGGAGGAGATGCTCTATGTGATGTGTTGGAGTTGGGGCCAGAGAGGAAGGGGAGCTACAGTAGGTGGTCTGCTACAGAGCTGAGGATGACATGGCAGATTGGACTTGGGGGAATGGAGGAGAGGTGAAGATCTACAGTTAGCTCACCTGCTTCCCTCACATGTCTGAATTTATCCCAAATTGATTTCATTATTTTTATAACATGGAGATGGTTCCTCAACTGCTGAACAATGGTATTGACTTAGGTAGTATGATGTCAAAGCAGACAGGTTTTTGAAAAATTGTTTGTAAGATGTTTGAATATATACATATACAGAGTGAAATAGTTACTACCATCTAGCAGCCTAACATATTTACCATCTTAGTTACCTTTTTCTCTGGTAAAAACATCTAAAATCCATAGTTTTATGGAATACATTTTATATTTAGATGCTTACATCCCACATAACAGTAACATGGTATACCTTGACTAGTCCCCCATTATTCTGATAACTACTATTCTATTTCTATATCCTTGACCTTTTCATCCTTTTCAACTCCATATGTAAGTGGAATCTGAATCATATACTATTTGCCTTTCAAGGCCTTGCTTCTTTTACTTATTATGTCTTCTTAGTTTATCCAGGTTGTCACAGACAACAGCATTTTCTTATTTTCAAGGCTGAATAATATTCCATTGTATCTATATTCCTCAAGTTCTTTAACCCACCATCCATGCACTGACGGACACTGAGGCTGTTTTGTATCTTGGGTGTTGTGAATAATGCTATAATGAACATAGCATTATATCTGCAGATATCCCTACAGATGTTTGCACCATTGCCTTTGGTATATATTCATAAGTCTGGGTCACGTGTGTGGTACATCATATTAAAAACTTAGGGGAACCTCCATACAATCCGTTATAATGAATTTACCTTCTCATAAATAATGAGTGAAGTTTTCCTTTCTGTTAAACTCTGGCCAGTACTTCTTATCTTCTGGAGTGTACCTAGAAGAAACCTAGGTACCAGGAAGAAAAGGAACAAGGAAAGAGGAAGGAATTAAGGAAGCTAAGCAAAGATCTGGCGTTAGCAGAAATCTAGCTAACATCACCCTGATCCTGCAGGGATCTCTAAAGCAAGGATAGCTCCACAGACTCTTTTCCCTTGTGGCAAAGGGCTTTTGTTCCTATAGGCTAAGTGGCCCTTGACTAGCATTGAGGATTTCAGAGTCTTGCAGATTTTGAATTATTCACATAGACTTTACCTGTTGAGTTTTCTTGATTAGAATGAAAAATACCAAACCTTTTTGAGTGTCATGTTAGTGCTTAAAAGCATCATTTCAGAGCATTTAGTATTCTAGATATTTTGAATATCCATGCTCAATCTATACATAGCAGTTAGTCATTGGTTGTGTTGTGGAGTGCATAACCTTGTAGGCACGGCTGGGCGAGGTGGCCACCAGCTGAGAGCAATTCTCCACAGAACAGCACAGCTGTGAGCTGTTAGCAGCCACCACTCAGAGCTGCTAAATATAAAATCAGTAGAGCTGGCCCTGGCTCTCAGTAAACTAGAGTAGGCAGCTGGGGATGGGTGTGCCAGACTTGTAAACAGGGCCTGGGTGGGGCAGGCACACCATCTCTACAACAATTAGTCACACATTTCAGTAGAGAGGATCACAGAATGCCACCATTTCCTTCTAAAGCAGAGAACTACTAAGCAGTCGTGCCACTGTGGGAACCACGCCTACAATGAAATAAGCAACCTCCGGGGTGCACATGCAGGGGGCACGCGGCTCACTTGGGAAGCTTCTCAAAGATGCAGATTCCAATGTCACTGCTGCAGAGATTCTTCTTCAGGCGCCTTGCTGCATACAGGAGCTGCTCTATAACAAAGACGAATGCTCATGTTTCTCTTGGAGATTATGGGGGTGGTCATGAAATACAAACTATTTCAATGACGACAAACACTATTCTATTTAAAATGTGTTCCCACAACCAAAGCTGAAGCATAGAAGAAGTCATGTTAAAATTCAGCAGTTCCTTCTATAGTGACATTCACAACTCTAAGAAGTATGTTTTTGGATATTTTAATTAAGCCCATATCAATTTCCTGTTGGAGGGATCCAAGCAGTTGCTTTATAAGGAGCCTGGAATGAAGTGATTGTAAGCATCTGGGGCATAGAAGCAAAAGCTCACAGCATGAGCCACAGGATTTTCAGAATTTTAAATGGCAGTTGACTCCATCAGCAGTGAATCATAGCTTTTTTAGAATCATCTTCAGATAGTCCAAGGGAATCTGAAGCTTATCAGCACAAAAATTCCTAAGACTGCTAAGTATCTGGCACCTTAGTAAGAATGTATGGTATGGATGGGTCTGGGAGAGAAGCATCTGTTCCTGCAGCTGTGATTGTTCATATAAATTGACATCAGCATCAATTATATGGCCTCCCACTAGAAAAGCCAGTATATTGATCAGTATCCATGTCTGCTTAACAATGCCAGCTCTGTGTTGACAATCTAGACAGACCAGCATGAAACAATATTTCCAAAGGATCAACATAAAACGAGAAGGGAGCCAGTCATATGACACACAGCTGTAATTTGGGAGGAAGATAAGCAAGACTTACGACTAGCCTTGGTTACATGGCAAACTCTAGGCTGTGCTACAGAGGAAGGTCCTGTCTGAGAGCTGAGCATGGTGGTTCAGACCTGTAATCCCACAACTCAGGAAGCTGAGGTAGGAGGATTTTTTTTTTTTTAAAAAGGAGTCTGAAGCCAAACTGGGCTACATAGTGAATTTCAGGCCAGCCCAGGCTATCGAATGTAACTCTATCTTTAAAATAATAAGTGAATTAAGAAATACATTTTAAAAACATAAGATTCTGAACTCACAGCAACTGTGATTACCTGCACAAGATTGAGTCCATCAATAGTCCCTCATCTCTGGCAGAGTTCATGAGGCTCCACTGCTAGCTAAAGAGCTATTGGCAGTTATTAATTGCTAGGGGAAGAGGAATTGTTTTTCTTCAAGAGTGTACTCTATGCTCTACTAAGCACCCCACAGCCACGCTCATGCAAAAAACCCCAATTAAAACAAGTAACAAAAAAGACAGAAGATAGGAAAGATACTAGTTGGGGATAATATGGGGTTCAGAGACAGGAGGGGAATAAGAGAGGGTGATGGTGGTGAATATGCTCAAAATACACTGTATACATATATGAAATTGTCAAAGAATAATAAAAATGTTAAAAACCAAAAACATAAGATCCTTTTTATAAATAAATTTATAACAAATAAAACAAAAACTAACATCACAAATCAATGGTCAATCAAGAACTTTTTCATGTGTTTGTAGGAATTTGGCTGTATACTGTGAGAGCAAAAGGTCATTTAGGAAGATCTACTTAATTAGATGAAGTATCTTCCCACAAGAATTTTTTAAATGTAAACAATTGTTATATACTGCTGCAATTTTTCTGTCACTTTATTAGGATAGCAAATAGTACCACACACTTAAAGCAGCTGCCCTACACATAAATAAATATTGTTCATTGAACATATTCCCCCACCCCCTCCTGTTAGTTCCCCTCTGTGCTCCACGTCCTCATGTTTTGACCTCTGCTTTAAGATCAAATGGAAACTGAATTTCATATGGTTCTATTTCAGGAAAGCTGACACGTGAGGGAGTATGTTATGATTTTATGGGCCACTAAAAACACAAAATTTTTTAATGATTACTCACATCAAAATGCCATTCATGGTCAAAGCAAATACTAGGCTTGGGGCCAGCTGTTTCCAAAAGGGGTATCATAGAGGCTGACCTCTGCCCAAGGCCATGTTTATAAATATATCATACCTTTGCAAAAATGTGTGAAGCACCTGGCTGTTTATATCCCTGGTAATGACTGACTCTTTATCTGCTTTTGACATACAGTTAAATGAGCTTGTTGTTTGTTGATAAATCCCCAGAGGACTCAGGAGGTCAGAGTAAAGAACCAGTGTTGTGTGGCAACCCATGATCATCTGTCTTACTTCCTCAGGGAAAGAGGAGCCCTGAGGTGAGGTGATGAGTTGTAGGCAAGAATTGATTAATGGGCTTCATTTGTCTAGTTCCATTTATGTGCTTGTGAAAGCAAGCAGACTAGACGAGTCATGCCTCTGAGAAGAGGTTAAAAACAATAACCAAGGATGAGTTGCTGGGGCAGCCAGGGCTCTGTGATCCTGTTGCCTGGATTTAGTAGTCTCTCAGGGAATACAGATACCATGCAGTGAGTGTGGATGAACTTGGACAGGTACACCTTCCTCACAGAGTATGTCTTCTTGCAATTTGATTCTGAGATAAAGTATAGGAGGCTGTGTCTATTCAGGGTTGTACCTTTGTGATTAACATTTGGAAAAAAGATAAGGAGACAGGAGTGGGCAGAAGAAGGCCAGCTGGGATGACCTCTCAATAACGGCCTCAAAGACTCCAGAAAGGAACTCTGTAGCTAGAATGGTACCCCAGAATTGTCTTCAGTTGGGCTAAGATGGGTGGGAATTTATATTCCTTCTCCTGTATGTCACCATAGATGGTCACTGCAGAAATTCATCCAGGTAACTATCTGATGGTACCAGTTGCTGTCTTCAGCTGAGACAGTCTTTGAGGGAGCTATGAACCAAGGGCTGTCTACTATCAGTTGTCCTCACAGCTGGGATGCTATGGACTTCATTGTAGGGGTAGCCTCACTGCTTTAGTTAGCACACTACTCAAATTGGACTTTGACTTGCCTAAGTGATTATATCAGCTAATGGAAACCTAGAACTTCTGCTAGCTCTAAAAGACAAGTCATGCTATCTGAATTTGGTTGCATCTGTCTCTCAGAGTGATTTTATTTCAAGATGTGACACAAAAGGACAAATATGCAGACTTCCAATTCTGGCCATCACCCTATCTGCAGGGATAGGATGAGGTGCAAAAATGGGGGTGAAACACTTATGGAGCATCAGAACAGTGGGTGAGCATATAATCCAAGATGTTTGGTAACAGAAAAGCGACCAATATAGGAAATATCAAGTAAGACAGTCCAGGAGTGGTGACTTGGGCCTTTCCTCCCAGTACTTGTGCGGCTGAGGCAGAAGGATCACTATGAGTTCTGCATTGCCTAGTGAGACATTGTCTCAAAACCCTTAAACAGGAGCCAGTGATGTGGCTAAGCAGGTAAAGACACTTGCATGCAGGCCTGAAGACCTGAGTTCAATCCTTGGAACACATGTAAAGGTAGAAGGGAAGAACTTGACTCCACAAATTTGTTCTCTGATCCCACCCCTCCATATACAGTGGCACATGCATGTACACACATTAATAATAACAAATACAATTAAAATTAAACACAAGTCATGTGGAAAGTAGTATTCAAAAGTCCACAGAGCAGCAGGAATACGGGGCAAAGCATGACACTTGGATGAGCATTATGGAGACTGACCTTGACTAAGTACTTATGTATTTTACATATATAATCTCATGAAATACTTTTGCAGTTTACTCATGGTAGGCATTATTGTACCCATTTTATAGACAAATAAGTCAGTTCCAAAAGGAACTTACTCAAAATTATACTGCTGCTATGTGGCAGATTCTGGACACAAATTCTAGTTTACTGGATTATATGATGGAGGCAAACTAATCTCTCTGTTCCTTGGTTTCTTCAGTTTTAAGATGGGAATGGTAGCATGTACCTCTAGCTGTTGTGTGTGGTGGTATTGTGTTCCCCAAAAATATTGTGCACCCTAATAAACTTATCTGGGGTCAGAGAACAGAACAGCCACTAGATACAGAGGCCAGAAAATGGTGGCACTCACACCTTTAATCCTAGCATTCCAGAGGCAGAAATCCATCTGAATCTCTGTGAGTTCCAGGCCACATTGGAAATAGCCAGGCATGGTGACACACACCTTTAACCCCAAGAAGTGAGCCTTTAATCCCAGGAAGTGAAGGCAGAAAGCAGAAAGATATATAAGGCGTGAAAACCAGGAACTAGGCTGGTTAAGCTTTTAGGCTTTTGCCAGCAGCTCAGCTGAGATCCATTTGGATGAGGACTCAGAGGCAGTCAGTCTGAGGAAACAGGATCAGCTGAGGAATTGATGAGGTGAGGTGGCTGTGGCTTGTTGTGCTTCTCTGATCATTCAGCATCACCCCAATACTTGGTTCCAGGTTTGTTTTTATTTTTTTTATCTTTTTTTATTTTATAATTTAATTTAATTGTACATATCAGCCACAGATTCCCTTGTTCTCCCCCCCTCCCGCCCCCTTTCTTCCCCCCAGCCCACCCCCCATTCCCATCTCCTCCAGGGCAAAGACTCCCCTGAGGATTGAGTTCAACCTGGTAGATTCAGTCCAGGCAGGTCCAGTCCCCTCCTCCCAGGCTGAGCCAAGTGTCCCTGTATAAGCCCCAGGTACAGGACCCGGTCCCACTGCCTGGATGTCTCCCAAACAGATCAAGCTAATCAACTGTCTCACTTATCCAGAGGGCCTGATCCAGTTGGGGGCTCCTCAGCTATTGGTTCAGAGTTCATGTGTTTCCATTCGTTTGGCTATTTGTCCCTGTGCTTTATCCAACCTTGGTCTCAACAATTCTCGCTCATATAAACCCCCCTCTTTCTCGCCAGTTGGACTCCTGGAACTCCACCTGGGGCCTGGCCGTGGATCTCTGCATCCAGTTCCCTCAGTCATTGGATGGCTTAAACCACATATAAAACCCCACACATTAATAGTGGGAGACTTCAACACCCCACTTTCACCACTGGACAGATCTCCCAAATCGAAACTTAACAGAGAAATAAAGGACTTAACTGATGTTATGACTCAAATGGAAATCAGGTTTGTTTTTATTAATAAGACCTTTTAAGAT